CCCATAGACAATGCTGGCATATTTGTGTCTTTAAATGCCAAGTCTATCTCAATATCAAAGGGAAACCAGTTTTATAAAATTCTAATCATGTCTATAAATTAGAAACAAAAGGAATCAGAGAGGAATGGAATAGTCCAATTGCTTAAAAAAATGTCAGTCACATAAACCAAAAAATGGTTCTGTCTAAAGAACTAACAGGATTAGTTAAAAAAAAAAAAGACTCAAAAACTGCAAAATTTTCTCAGTTGATATTATGGAAGAATACTTCTGAAGCTCCAAATTCAAGTTCAGATAGACCCATCTGTGAGGCCTTATCTCTGTCCTGTTAAATCCCACAGGAGTTTTTGACCAAAAGAGAGACTGGATCAAAATAATGGGATTGATAAGAACAAATCCAGGACCTGTATGGGGGTAGACGGTTACTTCAAAGAGCAAGATCTTCTGTAGGTTGTTTCCATGGTCTTGTTTTAGTGAAACTAGGTTGTTCTCATGTCCTTAGGAATAAACAACACATTTCTAGGATTATTTCAAAAAAACATATATCTGAATAAGGATCATACTCTTATGGGTACCATTCACCAGCTCCCAAAGAGCCATGCAGTGTGCGCCCTGGGACACTGGAATAAGCAAATTGTTGGTCATAAGATGTCTAATATATCTGAAGGGGGATGGCAATAGCACCCACTTATTCTTACTGTGATCTTTTCCTAACTTCGTAGCAGTACAATTAAGAATGAATCAAACAGAAGAGTCTAGAGCCTCTAAGGAATTTTCCTATGCTTTCTTCTGACATCTGCACTCAAATCTGAAATAGAACACACTTTCTAAAACCTAACTTCTCCTGCACTTGAGGTAAAGAAGAAAGTTTAATATGCTTAGCTTCAAAAAGGATACAATTTAGATTAGAAAATTTAAAGCCATTTGCCAGTAAGTCAAATTAAGCAGCTCCTTGCAGTAAAGTGGGAAGACATACTTAAAAATCTTGCTCAAAATACAAGCCATAGTCTCCTTTACCCTTGAATTATTTCTATTATTTTCAAAGCTACACATGAATGTGATGTTGAGTGATTTAATAAGTGTAAGCTTACTAATTAGACATATGTACCTTAGTTTCTTAATTCCAGATGGGGGCAATGACAGAAATCAAATTTTAGCTGTTTGTAAGCAAATGCAAACACCGGGGGAGGTTAAGACAAAGGTATGATAGGTATAAATCTGTTCATCAGAAATCCAAATGTTGATTCCCTTAAGGTAAAAACCATACACTAGAACCCAAACTAATGAGTTGTTACAAATAATGAAAAGAATCCCTGAAACATTTAAATAGCAGTGTCCAATAAAAATAAGAAAAATAAAATGCAAAATAAGAGGCAAACACGCAGTCAGCAGCATTATGCTGTCCAGGTGCTCCTGTGGTTGGGAGGACCCAGCTGCAACGTTTGCTGCTTCCTGCACTAAGCCTGCTGCTTTTCCCTCCCCCAAGCAGCTGAAGAGAAATGAGATGTTTCTCTTCAAAGGTGTTAAACATTTGGGTTGTATGAGGGACAAATGGAAGCCTGACACCTAAGATGAATAACCACAGTGCAGTAGGCCATTGGGAACTTTCACTATGTTAAAGCCAGCCAAGCTCCCTGCTCACACCGTATTCAGGCACACAAGTGCTAGGGCCCCACAGAGGAGGAAACAAGCTATTCTTTTCTTTTAATATTAACCTTTACTATTGGCCTACAGGGATTTTCATAAAGGAGACTTGAAGAAAGAAAGGCTTGGGCGTATGCTTTTAATACACTCGCCAAGGTCTTTGCTCTAACATACTGAACAGGCTCCTGCATCTTCTCTCATTCTCTATGACGACAAGCCAAGGTTTACTGGGCTTTGAGAACTCACACTGACACCAAATGCATTTTCATTATAGGTACTTTCTTGTTAGGTCCATTTTATCTGAATTAAGAATTCTTATTTAAAATTCGGTGAAACACCCATCTGTAAGATTTGTGGTAAAGACACACCTCTAAGAATTCCAGTTGTGGAAGGGTGTAATTAGCCCATTAAAATTTCCCTGCTGAAGGGAGAAAGCTGGATTGGCAACAGTGGTTCTCCTGAGTAGGTAATGCTGGACTTAGGTCATAAGTGTTGTAAAAGCTATGTGATCATACATGTCAGTGTCTGTCTGAAGAAGAGGAATAGCATAGAGAATTGTTAGGATGAGGTACCAGCAGAAACATTTCTGTGCGTGCCTGTGGCCCTAGCTGGTGTTCTCTGGATTACCTGCAGCTACTTACAAAGGAAGATTCTGTGTGGGAAGGGGCAGTCCGGACCTTCCCCTACCCCCAGATGTCTTCCTAGTCTTAACACCTGCAGGTGGCAGATGCAGTAAACAAGCAGTTGTTTGCAATGCAAATTCCAGTAAAGGGATGCCTGAGGGCTGCTCCCACCTTAAGTCCAACACAAATGGTCACCCTGTTCCTGACACCCCAGATAAAAACCTCTCACTGTGGATGTCACTTACACAAACACTGGTTCTGCTAAGGACAGGGTCAGAGATCAAGAAGGCAGACGTGTGGTCAGGGGTGATGGAGAGAGGCTGCCTTCCGGTTAAAGTGTTCTGGGTCTCAGACACGTTAAAAACAGCTGTTAGGTATTAAACAGCGATTGCAACTCATTTTGGTCGAACCTTAAATAAAAAAACTGGACATAGCCTTGTGGTTAAATCGGGAAAGCTTCTGCAATTGTGCAAATTGCAGAATATCTGCAAGAAAATGTGCCTAAAATAAATATGTCCTAAAATGTCACAGAATAAACAAAGCAGCAGATAAGAGGGTAAAGTACCTGTTTCCCGACCACACCCCTGTCTCCTCCACTCTACACCCACCAACACTTACTCGGCCATGAATCTTTCCTAAACAATGAATGGCTATTCAATTTACTGACCTCAAAATTTTAATACATACACTAACAATAAACACCTTCCATTTTCTATCAAAATTTCAAAATGACTAATATACGGGGCATCAGGGGAAACTGGAGAGAAATGCTGAAGGAAGAAGCTGTTGACTGAAAGAAAAAGAGAAGCTTAATTTTCAACATTAGTAGGGATCACTTATAAATACCAATAGATTTTTATTATGCTGACTTTAAAAAATGTTTTTAAAGGAAGAGTAGCTGAACTAGGGAACAAATCTCCACAAATACTTTATTAGGCATTAACTGGGTGCACAGCTTTGAAAAGTGTAAGACTGTTTCAGTGGCTATTTTCTATGGTTTAGCAAGTCAGAGACTATAATCTAGATTTGTCAGAAAGATTATGTGTTGTTCTAAAAAGCCTTTCAACAGTAACTTTCAATTATTCCTTATCTCAAACATATTCTTCACATCCCTCCAAAAAAAAAAAAAACCTAACAAAACAAAATAACCCAAATATAAAAGAAATATCTGATAAGTCTGCACATTCAGTTCAAGAAACATAAACTCTCCTACAAATTGTAAAACTCAGAGAAGCATTTATTTGGGAGTGGTCTCTAAATATTAAATGATATTTGTTTTTATTAGTTCATTCACTTTTTGGATAGGGGGATCATATTTACCACACAGGCATCTCTACCATTAAATATTCTAAAAGCCTCTTATAATGAAATGTGACATTGCTATCACCTAGAACAACCATCACAAGGTCTTCAAGATCCCCACGTTAGCCGTGATATGAAAATTAGAAAAACCTTATTCCCTACACAGAAGGTCAAATATCTCTTTGAAATCTGTGGGAAAATAATTACAGTAACATCTAAATTACAGTGCCCACATAAAATAGTTGTATTTCATATACCTATAATTTCAACAATTGAGCATTGTGGATAATCAAGATAAACACAAATACTCTTGAGAGTATGAGCCATTCCTCTGGACAATTTCGGCAAACCTTCTTGACCCCAGATGCTGTTCAGTGAGGTATTAATGACACTACTTTCCCCAGATGATTGTGGCTAATTTTTTTCACTTAGTGGAAGAACTGGGCTAATAAGGCAAAAATCACAGGTTCCTTTTTACGATCAGAATCTGATTTTGAGGAGGGCCAGGAAGACTGAAACTCTAATCCCTAAGACTCAGACACACATGCTTTTCGTTGGCTTTTAGGTGGGAGAGGGAGAGTGAGATGGAGTAAGGTAAGGATGTGGATGCAGCAGTAGAAATCAATCCCCACTGCTGCAGGGGTGGCTCTCAGGGAGCGCCCGCCACCAGCACGCCTCACGTTCACAGACTGCACGTTCCCCTTTCGATGCTCTCTTAACGGGGGTGAGGTTTCCACTTTCCAGCAAAAGAGAAATACCATCAAGTAACAGACCTGGAATTCTTCATAGTGCTATGGATTTGCATCATACAGTTACAATGGTTCTGCATTTTTACAACTTTAAAAGTTAACTGAACCACGAGATAAAAAGGGCCATTTTCATAGCGTTATCTTCGAGTAATATTTTCTCAGCAATTGACAATAAAGTAAAAATAGCTCATCCCAACTGATGTTAAAGAAACATTAGCTAATACAATACAGGGAGGATGCTGTTTTAGAAGCTGAAGTTACATTCTGAATGTTCAGTTCCAAATGAGCCAAAGTAGTTCTGATTCTAGAGAGCTTCAGGGCAGTGAAAGCTATATAACACTTAGCTAACTGAAAGAGTAAGTCATTTTTCCCCCTCTCATCAGCACAGAAAACACAATACTCATAAAATTATAAATCTGTTGACTTCACTTCACTTGATTTCACGATAACTGGTGATCTATTATTATTAATCTTAACCCAGTAAGCCAAAAGTTAAAATGCAAGACATCAAAGTTAGAACTCTTTTAAGGCAGCCATTCCTCATAACAGATCTTATTTAGTAACGACTGGTCATATATAATAAAAGCATTTCCGATGTGTTTAAAAAGAACATTTTGCTAAAATACAAATTAATTTTCTCTTCTGAAAATAATCTGCAACATGTTACAGATTGCATGTTACTCACTGTTCTTGGAATGGGTGGAGAAAGAGATCCATTTGACATGTATGGGTCATTATTCATATTTGGCATCATTATGTACCCGGAATAACTCGAGTAGGAGGGTCCCTTGTTGTAAAGGCCTCCATCTGGATGCTTCCCTGAGAAAATCCAAAGAACAATTGATGATGCACTGGCTTCCTTTTTATATTACTGGTTTTTATTTGAAAAGCAACGAGTTCCATGACAAATCAGGCCTTGCATAAAAGAGTTGTTTACAAAACAGTGTAACTCAGTTATTATGCTCTATTTTAGATTGATAGTATTTATTCTCTTAAGTGAAATTAGCAGGGAACCAGATGTTTGAAAAACATGTGTTTCAATTTACTACTATTGACTGGTGTTTTTACAAAAATTAGTGTTATCCATCTAATTTAATTTGTTTGAATACCAACAAACTGGACTAAGAAAGAGATACATGAAAGAACATACACAAACCTAAAGCTGTAATATAAATATATTAGGCCACCTAGCTATTCACACATGTATATTTTTATACACTTAAAGTTACGCTCCACGTGTAGGCAAACTTGAAAATCCTACCTGTGTCTCTAGATTTCTAGAAAATTTCTAGATTTTACTGAGGAAGAGAGTTATAACTAGTATATGAGCAACTACCCAAATTTATAAGGACTAATTCTAGTAGCTTAATTTTATGTGCATCATTTTGCCAAAGTAATTTGCATGTGTTCAGTATATACATTTCTTTTCTTTAATCTGTGTAACTACTTTGTAGCTCAGAAAGAAGCCTGATATTACAGTTCTCTCCCCTTCTTCTCTGGCTGACATATTGTACGTACAAACACCTAGTTCTGGTCAGGCCAATTGTAAATAATTAAAGAACAGAAAAACTGACTGACTGACAAGGAAACCCTACAGATTCTTTGATTCTTTTAAAGTCACAGAGTTCTCCTTAAATCTAAAAAATACATGCACAATTTTTAAAGTTTTGTGCAAGAATAAAAAATGGGGAGGATGTCAACTATCATGTTTCATATGCATAGCTCCTAATTTTACAAATAAAGTTTTATATTTTTACAAGTTAGATTCTGCTTTACTGAACATTCTGCTTTAGTCTGTGCATTCTCTCCTTGCCTTCTCACTGTAAGTGGAAATAGCCTTGTAACAAATGAAAATCCATTTGAAACTATTCATGTTAGAAAATAAATTGGTTTAGACTGTCACTCTTTATAACATTGCAGGAAAAAATGCTAAAGATCTAAGTCAATTAGGACTGGAGGTAAAATGAGAAAAAGAGGAAAACTTGTTATTTCCTCCTCTACAAAGAATCTAGAAGCCAAATGAAATCCAAAGGCCTCTAACTCATTCAAAGACAGTTTTAAAATTACAAAAATATATATTAGAGATAAGCATTACGTTTCCGGAAGTTCCCCCACCATTTTGTTAAAAAGAGTGGGCACAGTCTTATCATATCTGATCCTGGTTTTGTTTTTTTGTTTTTTTTTTTTTTTGAGGGGGTGACTCATGGCAAAACATACCTACATTAACAAATTGCGCTTGTTAAATGATAAAGTTGAGAGAAGTAGAAATATGTCTTACCGTCATCAGGGTGTTCTCTGGCCTTGTCATGGTAGGACTCCTGAGAGGTTTGTGCTTGTCTGGCCACCTAACAGCATAAATGCCCACCCCCAAAAGAAAGAAAATCACCTTAGAGTTTGTGACAATACAAATATAAGTGTATGTCCATTGGTAATTCAAAGGAGGAGGGTTAGGTGCAACTCAATCAGCTGTTTCATTAAGAGGTGGAGGCAAGGGTTAAGTACAGGAAAATCTTTTTCTTTTCAACATGTATTTCTAAATCATTATCATCTATCCAGGAGTGAAAAAGGATAAATATTAAGAGGAAAAGCAATAACAATATAGCAAATTTGGGAAACATCCACATGCTGTTCTGACTGCTGTTTGCTTAAATGTATCAGGGCTGCTTGGATGCCTAATATGATAGGAGTTTGAGTTAATGCTGTTGATCATTTTGATAGCTTCTCCGACCACTGTTCCCTTCAATCAGAGCTGATTAAAAGCACGCTTAAATACCACTTCACAACTGAAAATGACATTTTCAATAAAAACAGGCCCACCACTCACAGATGGGGGCTTAAGGCCACTGTCCCAAGCTAGACCCAGCAGGAGCTCCTCTCCCCATAACCTACCATGGCTGGCTGAGTACAAGCTTACAAGAGAAAAGTAAACTACTCTGTGGTTAAAGAAAGGAAAATTTGAGAGTTGGGTTATAGACATCTAAAAGGTAGCCTAGCTAATATCAGTTCTGGTAACCACCATCCACCCAGGCTCAACCACGTGCAAATCAGTGGTATTACCCCTTCACCATCTTCCCTGGGGCTGCCCCATGCCCATTACCCTCCAGGACCACAACTGACAGAGCCCTAATACCTGGATTCTGGGCTTCAAATACAGTACCCTTCTCTCCAGAGCAGAAACATGTAGAAAATGTGAAATGGTGACAAATTTATTTACTGAATAAGGAAAGACAGCAAAATGGGTAGGAAGAAATAGAGGCGCCTCTACAAATACGAGTTTGGCCTGAGTGTTTGGATGTTTTTTGGTTCTTTGGACATGTATCCCCCCCCCCCACCCGCCACCCCCCATGACTTCTTCCTCCCTCTCAGTACACACAGTCACAACCCATTTAAATGGGGTTGGTTCACCCTGCCTCCCACCACCATGTCCCCCTCAAATTGGCATAATGGGAAGAAAGATTCCGAGGATAAAAACACCCTTCTATGTTCTCCTTAGAACCCAGGTCCCATTCTTCCAAAATGCGTACTCACCCCTGCCATCGGAAAAAAGAAGGTAACTCTGAGTTGTTCTTAATCTCGTTGTTTAAAACCCTAAATGCCCCCGCCCCCAAAACCACACGCTTTCTTTTTGGGGGCAGAAGGATGCCATTTAAGGAAAAAGGGTATACCCTCCAAGTTTCTCTGGAGGGAAGAATCGTTGGTGCAATCATCTGAGTGTTAGAACACTTCTACCGGATTTCCTTCAAAGCGTTTCCCAGCTGTTGAACTAGGGTGGCCAGTGGAGTGTCCGGTATCAGGGTCCATCCGCCCACCCCACCCCTTTCTGAAGCTCTCCACCCGCCTTAAATAGCCCTTCCGCGGGGACCCCGCTCGCGGCTTTCTCCCGCTGGCACCCACGTGTCTCTATTTACTCTACTCGAGTTACCAGCGCTATCGCCCGCCACCGGCCAGGAGATCTGATAAAGCGCTTTCCAGCCTCCCCTGAGTGGGTGCCCTGGCTTCCGCCCCATCTCCACTCTGACTCTCCTGTCTTCGGTGTAGATTTAAGGCCTGATCTGGGCCCAAACTAACCCCAAATATAAGTTGTTCTTTTCTTTCTTTTTTTTTTTAAGTGACGTGGGTTGGAGAAAACTTGTATTGCAGGAGATACTGCAAGGTGTGGCTCTGTTCAGCGCGCCTACGGCTCTGGGCAGGGGGCCTGGCACTAGGACTCCGGCGGTCGCAGGAACCGAGCCCCACACGGCCCCGCTGCCGGGGCGCGCGCCCCCTTGGCCGGCCGGCTTCGCACGAGCCCGGCTCGGCGGCCGTTGGGCCAGCCCCTCCTGTCCCCGGCCCACGCCCGCCTCCCCTTCCTCTCCGCCTGCGGCTCTGCTCGTCTCTACCTAAGCCTTTGGTGGTTTAACGCACTTTTGCAGAGATATCTACCGAGATAGCGGGTGCACTTTGTTTTCCGTCCCACGGCAGAACTTCTCACTTCAGAACTCCTCGCTTTAAAGCATGGCACCCTCTCAACGCCGGTGAAAAGTCCGAAAGCCAAACGTTGCGTGTTAAAGGCCAACTTCTCCGCCCGCAAACCAACGGTTTAGCCACCTACCCCTAAACGGATCCCTTTGGAATAAGTTTCCCTGCACAACTCTCCACCTCCCACCCGACACGCGCGCGCGCGCACACACACACACAAAGGACGAACGCTGACCAGGGGCTCATCCACGACCCTGCAAACGAGGGACCCACGAAGGGCCGTCGCCGGGGCTGTCTAGCGCCTTCCCTGCCTCCCTCCCTCGCCGCTCTATCCCGGGACCCGCCACGCCTCTCGGCGCTCCGGCAGCGGCCCACTCACCTCGTGTCCGTTGCTGGCCGGGATGATTTCGGACTCGTTAACCAAGGAGGACTTGATGTCGGCTAAGTCGCCTTCCTCTTCGGGGTGACTGATCTCGGCAAAGATCTTCTCCTTCTGGGGATCGCCCTCGTCCTTGAAGGGAATCATCTCGTCCGTGGCGCAGAGTTCCGGGTCCCCCCCGCCGCCGCCGCCTGCCCCGGAGAGTTGGGGCATCCCGACCACTCTGTAATCTCCGCTTTGCCGGGGGAGCACTCGAGGCGACAGTAGGAAGAGAGGGGGTCAACGAAAGGGGGGAGTTAAGTAGAATTGGAAGGATGCGTGAGGTAAGAGAATGGGCGGAAGCGGGGTCGGCAAGCGCGGGGCCGGCGGCCCGCAGCCGGAGCAGCTGCGGCGGCGCCGGAGCCCCGGCGGCCGCCCGCGCCTTCCCGCTCCGCGGAGACGGACTCCGGCGCCCGCTCTGGAGGCCGATGAGCACTGGGCTGCGAGAGCCGCCGCAGCCGGCGCCTCTGGGGGCGGCGGCGCGGCGCGGCGTGCTCTAGGCTCCGCTGCCCTGGCGGCCACCCCACGCCCCCAGCAGACGCGCGCGGAGGACGCCGGTTCTGGAGGAGGCACGACTCCCCAAAGTGAGGGGCAGGGTCCGTCGGCGCGTCTCTACGCGAGCCTTTCCACCCTAGCCGGATGCCGACTTGGGAGCTGGTTTTCCGAGAAAAAGGGAGAGCTGACCAAAAAGGCTCCGTTTGCCCCAGAGGCAAAGGTGCAAGAAGAATCAGAAGATAACGAAATGTCCACTTCCTGGAGGCTAAAAAGAAATAATAATAAAGAGCCACCCGGGTTGAAGAAGTCCGCTTTAGAGCTTCTTATTTCCTTCCCTTTCGCTTCGGTTTTCCTTCTCCAGGCGCGTTTAATCTGCTGGAGAAGGAGGAGGAGGAGGAGGAGGTGGTGGGGGTGGAGGATGAGGGGAAGAGAAAGAGAAGTTTGCCAAGAATAAAGTTTGTGCCGTCGAGCGCTGGGAGTCGGCAGTGGAGGGCACGGCGGGGTCTCGGAGAGTCACAGCAGGGGCCTCGAACCCAAATGCTTCTGCCAGGAGCTGGAGCCGACACACACACTCAGAGCCCGACCCCTCTTTGTTCCCGGCTCGAATTTCTCAGCCTGGCTCGCGGGCTGTCTCGCTCGCCTCTCTCCACGCCTCCGCCGGCCGCTCTGTCAAAGCAAAGAGCTGCACCCCTCGGGTTCTCCCGGCCAAGAGGAGGGGGACGCTGCGGGCTTGGCCGCGTGCAGGATTCGGGCGCGTCCCGGCTCTTCGGCCGGAGAGCAAGCAACCTGGGTCCCTCCAACGCGCCCTGGCCCGCAGGTGAGCGGCTGTGCCTCCCCACCGCTTCTCCTCCTCCCGCGCCTCGCCGGCGCTGAAAAGCTACCCATTTGCGTCTTCTCCTCCCCCTCCCATCCCCCGCCTCCAGCTCTCCTTGGCTGCCCGTGGGGGGGGGGGGGAGGAGGGGGACCGCGAGTGGAGGTGGTGATTGAGGACTTTTTTTTTCCTTTTCCCAGAGCCTGTAGGACGAGTCCTAGTTTTAGGGCGTGTGTGTGTGAGCGCGCGCGTCTGTGTGCGCGCGCGCTCCTGGAGGGAAGAATCAGGCAATTTGGCAAGGGAAGGAAGGACCCGGCTCTCCTTGTAACCCATTGAGAGTCACGCTTTGCCCGCGTGAAATGACAAGAAACTGCCCGAATGGTTTAGCTTCATCATCTAAGTATCTCTTTTCTTGTTACCTCCCTCCCGCCCCCTCCTCTGCACCCACACCTCCTTTCTGCCTCCCTTTCAACCCCCCCCCCCCAACTCCCGCCCAGCTCTGGCAAGGGGGAGGAAGATGAAAGAGAAGCCGCCGCAGCTGTGATCGACACCACATTGATAGATGCTCTGACCGAGCGGATGAGGCGGGAATCAGGGACAGAGAGAAGGGAAAAGAAAATATAACAGACATCGCTCAACTAATGAGTGAACGGAAGCAAGAAGGACAAGGGAGAGAGTTGTGGCTTTCCTAAATATAATAATGTCAAAGGACAAGGGATCACATGCTAGCAAAAATAAAATCTCCAGGATTACCGAGAATAATAGGACGAGGGAGGAAAAAAACCTTAAGATCTTGCTTGTCGCTTTTTAAATAAGATCTCTTACATCCTCGCCAAGTGATGTACATACAGAGTTATCCTAGGTCTCTCCTGGATTTTCGGAGATATACCCGCAATGTGTGGGACTCTCATAGAGGATGAAAAGGCAACTGAAGGAGGAGGAAGAGAAGGCAAAAGAACCCAGGAGAGCGAGGCCAGTAGAGGGAGAAAAGATCGGGCAGTTTTTGGCACATCTGACTGCCTGCTCAAAGGGACCCTTGAAGTTGCAAATCCGAATCCAACCTCAAAAATTCTCCAGTCTCCACCGTCTCTTTGATGCATTTTATACAAGGACAGGACTTTTAAGGAGATGCTTTGTGAAAGTTACAGTATAAGCGAAGCTGAAGTTTGAAAACACATTACATTTTGTTCCTTGGCTCTCAAAACCCCCTCAGTTAAAAATCCAGGCAAAAATATTATACCCAATACAGTAGTCATCTGTAAAAACCTCAGAACAGTAAACAAGGGGCAGGAAGAAATGTGTCTCCATCTCCCTTAAATTGAAAATAAGGAAAATACTACAAGATCAGACTTTATGATACAGGAACAGTCAGGCAAAGAGCCCTCTTCTCTTCCTAAGGGGGAATGCGTGCTGCTGGTCCCTGGTAAGAAAAGACGTTAACAATGCTCTAAATGAGCACCTGAAACTTCACCTACTGATAACTACTTCCCAGGGATGGGAGTTTTCTAGGAAGCAATTTTAAAAACTATCATTTAAAGGGTTCGCTAGGTCACATAGAGCATGGCCAATAGTCATACATACATTCTTTCTGGGGGCATGGGGCTGGTGAAGGGAGCCAGGAAGAGTAACACATAGAAGCCACTTTGCATGGCTGACAATGCTGTGCCTTAGAAAAGAAAAATAAAAAGAATATCCTGCTGCAATGTGTCTATATGGCAATACTGAAAAGGCTGGAGAGAAACCAATTTTATTTTTTGGTTGGCGTTCATATGGAGCTTCCCTTGAAGTTATGCACCAGTGTGAGTATAACATCCTAGAGATTGGAACATGAAGCTATGCCAGACATTTATACCCTCTTTTCTAAAAGAAATGTGCGGGGTGGGGGGGGGGGGTCAAAAGTCCTCTCACAAATTCGCCAATTTGCTGACAGGAAAAGAACTAGAAAAATGCAGTTTCACCAAAGCAGCCCGAGTAGAAGTTCCTTTTCATCAAACTCGAGGAGGGAGAGGGGGCACACAGCATGGCCAGGAGGTGGTTTTTGGAAGCCAAAAAAGATTAAATGACGACCTCCTACATACCCCACCCCTCCGTTTAAGTGTTGCAACTCACTCGAATCCCTTTTTCTCCCTCATGTTAATTATCTGGACTCCCCGAGTCGTTCGGAACTCAACTCCAGGTGTCCTGGAGATTAGGCGCTGGAGAAGATGGGAATTTTGGGAACAATAATTAGTGGGGACTGTTTACCAGAAGGGCCGAGGGTGGGTGTCTGCTTTTAGCACTTGGCCTTAATCCCCGAAATCACCAACGCCAGGCTCCGTGAGCGTGACTGCTTTCCCTCCCTGTGGCGTGCGGGATGCTGGTTGATTGTCCTTAGAATTATTGAAAATGTCTTTAAAGGAGCTTGCTTTCCTTGGAAACATTCAAGCCAGTGTTTAAAAGCTTTGTCTGGGAAGGAGGTTGACATTTTCACACGAAGTCTGTCCGGGCTAAAGGGGGTGAGGGAGCAAGAGGGGCGAAGTAACTCTAGGAAGGCGATCCCTTCTCCTAATGGGTTGGGTGAGGTTCCAAGCAAAGGCAGTTCTTTGGCCAGCAGGTCTCCTCTAATTCGTGTGGGGGCTGCTATTAACATATACAGCCGCCTCTTGGGGAGCAAGGTCCGGGATGTGGTGGGTGCGGTGCGGGAGAAACTCTGCCGCCCGCCGCCCCCTTCCCTCGGATGTAGAGGCGGGTTGTTCGTGTGAACTCGAGCGAACGGCTGGAGGTTGGCTGTTGCAGGTTCACTCCTTCAGGATGTGGGTTTCAGGGGGCGTTTTGATGTGATTTAATTCCGACCGTGAAACAATTGCTAGGGGCTGGCTGGATTGCTGTTGGTTTTTCCCCTCTTGGTGGCTTTGGTTGGTTGGGGTTTAGTTTGGGAGCGAGCGAACAGTGACTTGTTTTATATCAACACTTCCTATTGCGCCGGGCGCCGCAGGCAGGGCTGCGCGTGGGGGGCGAGGCGCCCACCCCGCGCCGGAACCGAGGCGGGGGAGCGGAGACGCGGCCCGCTGCCCACAGGGCAAACTGGGCACAACTCCGCGCGGGTGCCGACAGGGGAACCGGGAGAATGACCCCCCACCCGCACCGGAGTCCCCTCCCCTCGTCCCCCGCGATTTTGCTGCCAAATCGAGTCAGCTACAAACACTAAAGTGAGTCTTTAATTACAGGGAGGAGAGAAAAAGCGCGGTGCCCTTCAGAGCCCTCTCCGCCCCCGCGGTCCCAACCCCCCCGCCCAGGCTTTGGGTCTTCCCCTTTGTGTGGCCTGGACTCGCTCCCAGCTACAACTTTTCTGGGATCCCAAAGGAAAGGGGGTGGCGGGGCCCTACGGATGAGGATGCTAGAAAGGAGAGAAGCGAGGGTTAAGGATCGGAAAAACGCAGAATGGGACTCCAGCGATGGAACTCCGTCGGGCACCCTGGATTTTCCACGCCAGCCTCGCCAGAGACGGAAGGCTGTGCGCATCTTCAGTTTAACGGACTGAGGGGAAAGGGCGAGGGGAGGGAGAGGGAAACGGCAGTTTGTGTCCCAGGGGTTCTTCCGCCTCCTCTCCTCCTCCAAAGACAAACAAACTCAACCCCCACCCGCCGGGGCAATAGAGAACTCGTGGGACCGTAAAAATGTCGTTCCCAAATCCGGCCGCCTGCGGACACCCGGTTTCCGCGGGGCCAGCGCTGACGGGCGGGGTCCGCCCACGGAGCGCGCTTCAGCCCTCGGCGGCCTCGCCCACGCCGGTGCGGGTGCGGGCCAAACTCGGCGTCCCGGTCTCGCTGGGTCCGGGCCCCAGGGGCGCCCGTTTAGGGTCCAGGTCATCCCACGGCCTGTGTGGCAG